AGCTTTTTTCTTTTTGCTTATGTGGTGCTGAGGAATTGAACCCAGGGCCTCAGGCATGCAAGGCAAGCGCTCTACCACTGAGCCACCTTCCCAGCCCTGAGAGAATGGATTTTAATACTAAAATCATAAACTCAGAACACCGTAACCACCCTCTAGCCTGGCTCTGGCTTGAACTCCACTGCTAGTCTGTCTTACCTTTTTTTTTGTTTTTTTAATGGATTTGGGCTTGAACTCTGGGCTTGGGCGCTGTCACTTAGCTCTTCAGCTCAAAGCTAGTGCTCTACCACTTGAACTACAGTGTCACTTCCTGTTTTCTTAGTGGTTTATTGGAGATGTGTCTCATGGACTGGGAAGGTGGCTCAGTGGTAGAGTGCTTGCCTTGCATGCATGAGACCCTGGGTTTGATTCCTCAGCACCACATATGCAGAAAAAGCTCACGGACTTTCCTGCTGAGGCTGGCTTTAAACCAGGTTCCTCAGATCTCAGCCACCGGTGCCCAGCTGCTAGTCTTTCTTCTCCACTCACTCTGCCCTCCATCTCCACCAAGAAGGCTGTCCTCACACTGATGCACCACCAGCGCTTCCTCGCTGCTGCCCCACCACCCGAGCAAGCACAGCACATGCTGCCCTTCCAGTGCCCACAAGGCACCACGTGGAGAGCTGGCCCACTGAGACTGGAGACAGAAGTCTGCCCTGATGTGGTTTCTGGCTCCAGGGGCTGTGTGTTCTCTGCAGCAGAAATGGAGCACCCCAAGGAAGGGCAAGCGCTGCGTCCCAAGGACCTCATGAGGTCTGGTGGATGGCTGGGCAGCTCCTAGGCTGCAAAGCCCATTCCCATCCCATAGCACTGCATCTAAGGGGGGCGGGTCCACCGCAGTGAGGTGGAGCCCTGAAGCGGCAGGGGTTCTATGGGTTCCATGAGCACCAAGAAGTAGAGTAGGGTGCTCATCACATCTGCCACGACTGTGCCCCACTTCTATGTCTTTTATTTATTGCCAGTCCTGGGAGCTTGAACTCAGGCCCGGGTGCCATCCCTGAGCTTTTTGCTCAAGGCTAGCACTCTATTACTTGAGCCACAGTGCCACTTTTGGCCTTTTCTGTGCATGTGGCCCTGAGGAATGGAACCCAGAGCTGCATGCATGCTAGGTAAGCATTCTACCACTGAGCCACCTTCCCATCTTTCCTGGTCTAGGGGAATCTACCAGTCTACCGATTGTTCTTGCTGATGTACGCGTACCAGCAGGGACTGGATGATGCCCCCTGGAATGGGGGTAGGGCTGGGGTGGTCCAGTCAGTGGTGGTGATGGCTCAGATCTAGCAGTGTGAGAGGAGGAGGGGTGAAGGACAGCTTCCTGGGGAAGGAGGTGGGTCTGGAATTCAGTGGAGAGAGGCACAAGACACGTCCTAGGGCAGCCTGGGTGCCTGGAGGGCGGGCCAGGAAGAGGTCCTGCCTGTCTTCAGGCTCTGGAAGAAGTCAGATGTTGTGCTGTGTCCAGTGGCATAGAGCCATTTGAGGGCCACCAAGTGCTGCTCACTGCCCCCTCGTCCAGTAGACTAGTACTAGTGCTCACCCGTCACGTGGCCACCCCCGGAGGGGGGAGCCCTATGTATAACTCTTAAAAGGCAAAGAAAAGCTCTATTCTTCCAGGACCTCAGCCCTTTCCTGGTCCAGTAACCAGAGGCAAGTGACCAAGAGGCTGAGAAGAAGCAAGCAGCTTAGAAACATCCCAACCTGAGCCGCCGCCAGGAAGGAGCTGGAGAGGATAGTGCAGGTCAGGTTTGTTCGCACAGGCAGCAACGTCCACACCGCAGAACTCAAGGTCCTGACCTGGAAGTGTCTAGACTCTGCTGGGCCTCTGCTGGGCTGACCTGTCTGGCCAGAGAGAGGGTGAGTGTGAGTGCAGATCTGGGGGTTCCCAGACAGAGCGCCTTCCAGCCTTCCTGTTGATACCGTGAGGCGAGCACCTCCGGGAGCAAGATGCCAGCTGGAACTGGAACCGGCTTCGCCCCTTCCGATCCCCCGGTCGGGACTGTGCCCACACAGGGACTGAACTCCATCCCGACAGCCACTCCTTACCTGGTGCTGTCTGCCAACCTGACGGGACCCTGGTGCCTGCAGGTGCCCATCCCCGATGGCCTCTTTTTCAGCCTGGGGCTGGTGAGCTTGGTGGAGAACGTGCTGGTGGTGATTTCTATTGCCAAGAACCGAAACCTGCATTCACCTATGTACTTGTTCATCTGCTGCCTGGCTTTATCTGATCTGCTCGTGAGTGTAAGCATTGTGCTGGAGACCACTGTCATCTTGGGGCTAGAGGCAGGGGCCCTGGCCACCCGGGAGGTGGTGGTACAGTGGCTGGACAACGTCGTTGACGTACTCATCTGTGGCTCCATGCTGTCAAGCCTCTGCTTCCTAGGAGCCATCGCGATAGACCGATACATCTCCATCTTCTATGCACTGCGCTATCATAGCATTGTGACACTGTCCCGGGCACGGTGGGTCATTGTGGCCATCTGGGGAGCCAGCATCTTTTCCAGCACTCTCTTCATTGCTTACTACAATCACATGGCTGTCCTGCTTTGTCTTGCTACCTTTTTTCTAGCCACGCTGGCCCTCATGGCCATTCTGTACCTTCACATGCTCTCACGGGCATGCCACCATGCCCGGGCCATTGCTCAGCTCCACAAGAGACAGAAGCATCCTGTTCACCAGGGCTTCTGGCTCAAAGGTGCTGCCACCCTTGCTATTCTCCTGGGCATTTTCTTCTTATGCTGGGTCCCCTTCTTCCTGTACCTCGCACTCATCACCCTCTGCCCCAGGCACCCTACCTGCAGCTGCTTCTTCAAGAACCTCAACCTCTTCCTTGCCCTCATCATCTTCAACTCCATTGTTGACCCCCTCATCTATGCCTTCCAGAGTCAGGAGCTCCGCATGACGATCAAGGAGGTGCTGCGGTGCACCTGGTGAGCGGGGAGGTGGTTTTGGTCCCATAGCCAGGTGCCAGCCAGAGGGAGGGAGGGATATCCAGCGTCCTGATGCCTGTGGGAGCATAGGCAGGAAGTCCCCTCCTCGCCTCACTTGCCCAGCAATGGACTAATGAACTGTGATGACTGCTCAAGACCAGGGAGAGGCGATGTGCATCTCCAGGCAGGACACTCGCTGGCAGCCGCAGGAAGGAGCTGCAGAGGAGCAGGTTGGGGAGAAGAGCTCGCGCACCAGGCACAGAGCTGGAAGACAGCCTTTCCAGGCCAGCTCCACCTCCACCCACTGACCAGGCCATACCTACTGCTGCTTGTTTCTTTTTCTTTTTTACTAGTCATGGCTTGAATTTAGGTCCTGGTTGCTGACCATGAGCTGCTTCTGCTCAAGGCTGGCTCTTTAGCACTTGAGTCACAGCTCCACTGCCAGCTTTTTTGGTAGTTTTTTGGAGATGAGTATCACAGATTTGGCTGGGAAGGTGGCTTAGTGGTAGAGTGCTTGCTTCGCATGCATGAAGCCCTGGGTTCTATTCCTCAGTACGACATAAACAGAAAAAGCCAGAGGTGGCACTGTGGCTCAAGTGGTAGAGTGCTCGCCTTGAGCAAAAGCAGTTCAGGGACAGCACCCATGTCCTGAGATCAAGCCCTAGGACTGGTGCATGCGCGCATGCATGCACGCGCGCGTGCGCGCACACACACACACACACACACACACACACACCTCACTGATAGATTCACCTGCTGGGCTGGCTTTTGAACTGTGATACTGTGATTCTCAGATCTCATTCTCCTGAGTAGTAGGATTACAGGTTGAAGCCCACTGCCTATTTTTTGCTGCTAGCTCTTGGGGCCTGTATCCTCGGTGGCAGGGCAGGTGGTCCCTGGACTGGCAGAGTGAAGAGGGCTGTGGAGGAGCGAGGCTTCTCCAGTGAGGGCCTTTGGAGCTACAACCCTATCCACGGAGCCACATGGGCTCCATGGGACTGGACTTGCAGGATGAGTGTCTTGACCAAGGAGGACACCAGATTTGGACAGAATGGATGAGAGGCTGACCCCTCTGGGAGCAAGTTCTGAGACTCACGGAACCCTAACAAAAGGAGACTTTGATGTTTGCTACCCTTGCCCCAGGAAGTGGCTCTGCGCCTGTCCCGGTCCTGGCAGAGGCCACTGGCCTGCGTCAGTGACCCGAACCTGACAGGGTGTCAAAGTAGTCTGGCAATAAATGCTGTGTGGCCTCATCCATCTGCCTGGGCTGCTTCCGGTAGTTTGAAGTTTGGATGGAAGGTGAAAGGCAGTGATCAATGTCATGAGAGGAAGGAGTCCCAGAAACGATTGCCATCTGCCTACATTGGAAGCCTGCCCCCCCAAAGGGACCTCATGCTCATGGGAAAAGTGTGGAGCTCCAACAGGGCCCACTATGTCCCTTGGCCCGGGCAGCTCCACCCGTCCCCTCTGGGTGACACTGCAGTGACGGCTTCAGTGTGCCTCTTCCCTGGCCCCAAATGTGTACTAAACCCCAGCCCAAGAGCCAAGCCTGGCCTTGGCCAGTGCGCCCCTTTCCTGCAGCCCTCCAGACGAGGCTTGCAGGTGGGCCTCCATCCTCCCTTGCCAGCTGGGGGTCGGGGGGGACGCGGGGCGTGGGGGGGACGCGGGGGCCGTGTCCAGGCAGCTCACTTCCCGCCCAGCAGGGAGGCAGAGCCGCTGCCCGCACATGGACGGCTGGAGCCCGGCCGGGGAGAGCCGCGTCGGGGCCTCCTGAGGGCCAAGACCCGGTTCTGAATTGTCTCCGAGGAGGGCGGAGCGCGGGCCCCACGCGGGAGCTCTTCCTGGAGGGCTCGGACCGCGTCCCTGACCTTGTCGTCCCTGTCCTTGTCCTCCGCTCCGGCCACCATGAAACCGGCCGCGTGCCCGCGACACCAATGGGCCGGTCCCATGCCAGCGTTTTGCGTTCCCGCCAGGGGTCTGAGGGTGCGGTGACCGCCGGGCCCACCAGCCCCCCACAGGACCCCGCCACCCCCCCGCAAGGACCCCGCCATCCCCCCCGCACAGGGCCCCGCCAGCCCCCCACAG